CAATCAGAGCCCATCGTGTATTTCTGAGGGAGGGGCTTCATAAAAGAAGAAAATTGATCAGCGCGTTTCTCAGAGAAGGGACAGAGCAGTGTGGAATAAAGGTAAATTATGTGAAAAAGAATGCGTTTTTTAAAAAAACGAAGCATTAACACATGTTAGACTGCACCCCATAAACACAATCAAGCCTAGAAAAAAACCACTGAACCACCCCTTTAAAGACTTTATTTTTGTTCCCATCCACTTTTCACATAGCCTGAAACTACACGAAGTCTCATAATAACTTTTTGATTAGCAAACCATAAACCATTTATAGCTCTCTTACAGTCTGAGATAATCAATCATAATGGCATATGGTTGACTGAAGTTTCTCTGCTTTGTCCTCTGAAGCACCTTAAAGTAGTTCTCCCAAAAATGAAATTCTGTCGCTATTTCCTCACCCTCATCTTCCAAACATGTATGAGCTTCTTTCTTCGGTTGAGCACAAAAGAAGATATTTTGAAGAATGTTGGTAACCAAAGCACTTGACGGTAGCCATTGAAAAAAGTATATGGAAGTCAATGGCTACTGTCAACTGTCTGGTTACCAACATTCTTCTTTTTTGTTCAGCAGAAGAAAGAAACTCATACTTAAGGGTGACAGAATTGATTTTTGGGTGAACTGTCCCTTTAACCCTATATTTACAAAGAAACGCTTAGAACTGGCCGGCACAAAACAATGTTCGGACACCAGACAACTGTAAAACAAATACCAATTATATGTTTTGCTAGAAACTACCCATGCGTCACTAATCATAGTTTTGTTTTCCTCAGAATACTTCGTCACAAAGAATAGTATTTCGTATTGGTCTTAAAGGTCATCTGGATTAACCTCATTGAAGACTGAAAGCAATGGGCAGCTTTTTTCCAGTGGTATCGATGAGCCGCTGCCATATTTGAAATGAGCATTCCCATGCAGCCTTAGCTAATTGTGCTGAGAAAGAGTGAATGAATAATTCACAGGCAACTAGAGGGTCAGTAAAGCGTACTGCGTGTGTGTGTGTGTGTGTGTGTGTGTTGTGATCTCGCTCATGACTAATCTCGCTCGGCTCGGACGTTTTCTTTGTACCTTTCCTATAGTACCATCATCACCATGGTGACGAATTTGAATGCCCGCTGGCGTGTTGAGTCACGGCAGTCTGGTGTTCATACCTCACAGCACGGGCTGAGTGTGCAGAAGCTTAGAATGGACTGATGTCACTGAACAAGCAAAGGGTCGCCCTCTTTAATTGTTATTTTGAAAATCAAAGCCTTAGATATGGCGTAAGCATTACATCCTGGTCATTGTGCCTACTGTGAAGTCAGTTATCTAGTTTCGGACTCCAAGGGCCAAACCTCTATCACAATACTAACAATGAGTCACATTCAGCAATTATTCAGAAAAACCAAAAAGCTGATTAACATTTTTATTTATTTTATCATTTTTTTTAATGCATCAATAAAGCCTTTTCCCAATATAATTTAGCTTTTCTAATGAGTAATTAAATATCAAATAATATTTATTTAAATATAATTCTTATGTAATATTCCAGGCTTTTAGACCATTTTGTTACTATGAGATGAGCAGCTATGTTAACTGATTATAAATATTTGTATAACTAAATCAGAAAATTACATTCAAAATTACATAATCATTACACTGAAATCATTTGAGCGCATGTAACGACAATAAACACTGCCATACCTACTATCATTAACACCAGTTTGGCTCATTTGGTATTTACACAGTGTGTGTTATGGAATATCAGATAGGATAACCAACTCGCAGTGTCTTTTTGAGGCAATTGATGCTCTTTATCCATCCATAACGGCACGTGGCACTCGTACTGGTTTCCTTTAAAAGATCAGAGGGGTTTCTGGGAAAACTGATCATTTGTTCATACGCTTTATTTTAGGCTGGTACACTTGGTTGACTGGGCTCCATATTGTATATGTCAGGATGCTGTAGTTGGTTTTCCGTCTCAGTCGTCATCGTCCACATGGCCGTTCACCATCCCTGACTCCCAGCGCTCGAGTAATAGATTTTTCTGCCTTGGGATCGTTACTGTTTTCTGTATTCATCAGAACATTCGAATAAGAACATTAGTAAGTGCATTTGAAATTGAATGCTTTTAGCTCACATAACATACACTCTCAGAAAAAAAGGTACAAAAGCTGTCACCGGGGCGGTACCTTTTCGGAAGGTACAAAAATGTAATGTACACTTTAGGTGCTAAAATATACATTTAGGGTACTTAAATGCACCCTTTAGTGTTAAATAAGGTACAAATATGTACCTTTTGAAAGGGTACCACCCCAGTAACAGCTTTTGTACCTTTTTTTCTGAAAGTGTTGGCTGAAAGGCTAATTTGGTCAAAATGAAAATTGTGTCATCGTTGACTAAACCATGTGTTGTTTTAAACCAATTTGACATTTTTCCTCAATGAAGGAGATATTTTGAAGAATATCTAGACTGCTCTTTTGCAAACAATGAGACCAAAGGGTGACCAGAGACTGTCAAGCTCCAAGAAGCATCATTAAAGTGGTCTTCTAAAGGCAAATTGAGTTGTTATGCACTGAAAATTGTCTCAAATTTCATTCATATTTGCACATATTCAAATATGGCACATAAGATTTGATGTCAATGGTGCCATATTGTAACTGGTTCTCACGTGTCACATAAGCGATCATAGCACACCAAATTTGAATATGCACACATTCAAATAAGGACATTTGAGTTAGATTTGAGAAGTGAATGAAGTGAATATTTCACTTAATAACAATGTAAAGGTATCATATAATATATTGCACAAACCTCACTTTTATGACTTTTATGGTGAATTTGAATGCCCGCTGGCGTGTTGAGTCACGGCAGTCTGGTGTTCATACCTCACAGCACGGGCTGAGTGTGCAGAAGCTTAGAATGGACTGATGTCACTGAACAAGCAAAGGGTCGCCCTCTTTAATTGTTATTTTGAAAATCAAAGCCTTAGATATGGCGTAAGCATTACATCCTGGTCATTGTGCCTACTGTGAAGTCAGTTATCTAGTTTCGGACTCCAAGGGCCAAACCTCTATCACAATACTAACAATGAGTCACATTCAGCAATTATTCAGAAAAACCAAAAAGCTGATTAACATTTTTATTTATTTTATCATTTTTTTTAATGCATCAATAAAGCCTTTTCCCAATATAATTTAGCTTTTCTAATGAGTAATTAAATATCAAATAATATTTATTTAAATATAATTCTTATGTAATATTCCAGGCTTTTAGACCATTTTGTTACTATGAGATGAGCAGCTATGTTAACTGATTATAAATATTTGTATAACTAAATCAGAAAATTACATTCAAAATTACATAATCATTACACTGAAATCATTTGAGCGCATGTAACGACAATAAACACTGCCATACCTACTATCATTAACACCAGTTTGGCTCAT